CGGAGTTCAGCCGCTGCCGAGGCAGAAGGGCGGACTTGGGCAGAATGGTTGAAATGTAGTCATATTATACTATAGTATCATGTTGATGGTTGGTTCCTGTTGTATTTATATAGCTGTTTTATATTCTGTTCTGATGTAAATAAATCATATAGTTACGAAACTGATCTCTGTTATCGCTTAGATAGTGTTACACTTGTTAATAAATGCTAATATAATAATTTATATACCATTTAAGGCTCAAATAAAGACCTGCAATAGGCAGATTTAGCTCTTACATAATGCATCTTTAAGTTTTATGCCCATTCCCCTCAAGAGTTTATCAATTATTGAAGCATTCTTGTCAAACTAAGGAACTAGTATGATTGAAAAAACTTTGTTTGTCACACGTTTTTTTACTATTGTCCCCCACCTTTCGCAGAAAGCAGGTTACTATAAAATGGTGTGTCTGTCTGTCTGTCACACTTTTTGGGACACAGTAACTCTACTTCTAATGGAGCTAGAATATTCAAACTTGGTGTAGGTATTTATTAGGTCAATGCCTTGATGGAGTTTGAAGATGAGATGAGCATTTTCTGCTTAGGGTAAGCAGAGATAAGCAATTTGATTGGTTGATGCTTTGGGACACTCGATAACTTCAGTTCTAATTAAATGAGATTCAATACCTTGACTTAATTCAATAATGAGCATTTTCTGCTGAGGGTAAGTAGAGCAATAAGCAATTTGATTGGTTGAGACTTCGGAACACAATAACTCTCCTAATTGACTAGTATATATGTAGGTGTTTATTAGATGAATACCTTGACAGAGTTTGTAGATGAGAATTTTCTGCTTAAGGTAAGCAGATATAAACAATTTGATTGCTTGATGCTTTGGAACATGATAACGTTAGTTCTAATTAAGTGACAATGATGAAACTTGGTATATAGTTTCATGACATCAATACCTTGACTTAATTTTTATACGCCCACATTTTCATGTGGACGTATTATGCCGTCGCACCTGTCCGTCCGGAAGTCCTTCCGTCCACAATTGTTTGTGGACACTCTACAGGTCAAGTGACGAAACTTGAAATATAGGTTTATCTCCAAAATATCTCGGCTGTTTTCGATATTGGCACGTATCGGATCGAAACTTCATGGATTATGGCCCCTGTTTGTACGAAAAATCACGTTTTTAGCTTGTGGACACTATAGAGGTCACAATTTTTATCCGATTTTGTTGAAACTTGAAATGTAAGTTGATAACCCAAAGATCTCGGTTCCTTTCGATATTCGGGCATATCGGCCCGAAATTCCTGAATTATGGCCCCTGATTGTACAAAAAAATCACATTTTTAGCTTGTGGACCCTATAAAGGTCATAATTTTTATCCGATTTAACAAAAAACGTTTTATTATATCACCGTTACACCCTAAGGATGGCCAAGTTCGAATTTTGTGAAAATCGGCCCAAAATTGACAGACAAAATGGCCGTCGTTTGTTCTTAAATAACCTAAAAATATGGTATATCAAGGTTGTGGACCCTATAGAGGTCACAATTTTTATCCGATTTTGTTGAAACTTGAAATGTAAGTTTATAACCCAAAGATCGCGGTTCCTTTCGATATTCGCGCATATCGGACCGTAACTTCCTGAATTATGGCCCCTGATTGTATGAAAAATCATGTTTTTAGCTTGTGGACCCATTAGAGGTCATAATTTTTATCCGATTTAAAAAAACGTATTATTATATTACCGCAAGGACAGTTGAGTTTGAATTTTGTGAAAATCACCCCAAAATTGACAGTCAAAATGGCCGCCGTTCGTTCTCAATTAGCGTAAAAATATGGTATATCAAGGTTGTGGACCCTATAGAGGTCACGATTTTTATCCGATTTTGTTGAAACTTGAAATTTAAGTTTATAATCCAAAGATCTCGGTTCCTTTCGATATTCATGCATATCAGACCCTGATTGCACGAAAAATCGCTTTCTTTTTAGCTTGTTCTCTATCCATCTCTCGAAAATGTGGGCGTATCCTGCCTGGCAGCCGCTGGTGATAATGCACGTTGTCTGCTGAGGGTAAGCAGAGTGATAACCAATTTGATTGGTTGAGACTTTGGAACACAATAACTCTCCTTCTAATTGAGGTAGAATATTCAAACTTGGTGTAGGTGTCTATTAGGTGAATGCCTTGACAGAGTTGGATCATTAGACAAAAGACAAGTAGATTGATTTATGATACCATGTGGCCGATTCATTGTTTTACTAATCGGCTAGATTAAACATCAATCGGCTAAATCCCACAAAATACAGCCGATTAAGAAATAAGGTGTGCAGCTATTTTTTCATGTGTTCCAAGGTGTGCCATTGGCAAAAAAAGATTGAGAACTACTGTGTCAGAGTGACGACAGCCCACTTGTAGTCTGAAACCTAGTCTGAGCTTGTGGTGTCATCTGTCACTGAGGATAACTATCTTGCAACGTCGCCTAGTTTATTTGAAAATTATTGTGGAATCCCCAGTTGTTGAATTTGGAAACGGCAGTATTTTTATCCTGAACAGAAACTTTTCTTGAAAGCATGTAGAACTGTTGTTGTTATAGAAAATGAAACATAAATATGGAATCAAATTAAATATTTAATTTTAATTACAGGTATATTGCTTATTTACCTGTCACATGACAGGGTTATATGCTTTGATAATTTCATAAAACTTGTTTTTCACTTCAAAACCGATATCTTGGTCATGGAGTACTTGTTTTATTTTCAAGTAAGATCCTAATAATGTATTGATTATTCAACTGTTAAAGGGTTCAAATTTCTAATTTATATGGTACTAGTCATGAAAGATATCTGGATGTGTTTTTCTGAAAAGATAGAAGAGCTTTCACTATTTTCTCTTTAAACTAGTAATTATTCTCTGACTCATCTCTTTCAATCAGTTTTCTCCATGAATTATTATCATTTAACACTGGTACAACCTCTTAAAGGAAACTGTGTTATTACCGTTTGCATGGTCATAAAATGCACATTTATTTAAATTAAAATCAGTAGCCATGTTTTATTCACATGTCCTTTAATTCCTGCTGTTTTCAGAGCAAATAGACCATCAGATCACTACTAATCAATAAATTTTTTTGTAAGAATTGCTTATTGGATTTTAATGATAATGTTTATTTAATGTTAATAAAAACAGTTTGATAGATAATTGTTTATGTTAAGTTTATAGGTAGGGTCATTTTTGGGGTCATTTCCGGATTTTCAAGTTTCAACTAGTGAGAGTTGACCAATTTCAAATTTGCATTTAAAATTGATGACATAATTTCTAGATGATTTTTCCTTATCTCAGAATTATCACCACTTGTAGGGTTAATTGTTATGATTGATTGTTATAATAAACTTAAAGCAAAGTGTGATTAGTTTAAGTACAACATAATTGTTACTTCAGCAATATCAGACAGATTATCTGTACTTACATAGATTTTTTCAATCAGATTAAAACAGAGATTCTATTTCGTTTCGTTTTTTATAGTTCAAAATTTATTTTTACTTGTCTTTACTACACTAGGATCTGAAACTAGTGAAAGAGTTGTTTAACCTGCGTTCTGGATTGTGTGAGGTATTAGCCAATAAAACCATCTGTTACGGTGACTTCTGATTGATTAATCAATGCCTGATGTCATAGGGTCAAAAGCCGCTCATACAATCTCTGACGTGACCTTCTACTATGACCGTTCAGATCATGTAGTGTAGGCCATCGAAAGAAAAAAACAACGAAACGAAATATAGATCTGTATTTTAATCAGATTATAATTGTTTGGACCTATATAATAGAATCCAAAGATACATGTGAGCCAAATTAGTTTAACATGTTATCTATGCATGTCATGGTTTTGATGCCAGGCTTGCGTGTGACAGGTTATGGTCACTTGCCTGACTTTAAGGTTTGTCTAAGGGCACTCCATTTTCCTCCCACATCTAAGACCGTCTGCACAAGCTACTTGGGGGAAATATAAAACAAATTTAACTTAAACATTTTACATGTAGGAACAAAGATTGTGATGCTTATTAAAATGGATGTTTGTTGGATTTATATAATTGATTGCTCTCTCATTTTTGATTTCTTTCTTTGACTTGAGTCAGTTTTAAACATGTGAAGACAGCTGAATTATGCTGCCTCTAAAAGACATTGAATTTATAAAAATTATAAAAGCTAAATACAAAAGATGTGATTTAATGTTATTTTAAACTTGGTCTTTGATCTTTAACTGACTCTTAATCTTACTAATTATTATGGTGATATTAAATAGAATCATGGTCAGATTTAAATTGTGAATTTGAGATTTTTAGTAGTGATGCTAATTTACGAACTAACAATATGAAAAAGATGTCTTGTAATAATAAAAAAGAAAGCCTTTCATCTTAGTTAAACAAAGATTTGGAGTTCCTTTCTTCTTCTTTTATGAGCAGGTGATACTTTAGAGGTAAAGAATTGTGTCAAGCCAATCGGCTAGCAGCTTTTGATACAAAAATAACAAAAGCTGAGGAAGAGATTTATTGTTAAAATATGGTCAGATTTATGTAAAGCAAGTGAACAAGTCTTGTGCCTGTCATTGATATCGGAGAGAAAATAAGGCTAATGATGACAATCAGTAGAGATCATTAGATCTATCAAGATTGATGCTTCCAAAATGTGATGATCTACCTAAACCTGTAAAAGCTGAAGGAATATGTCACCTATGTGTTGTTTTTAATGTGTTCTGTTGATTTAAGACAGTGATGCCTCTTAATGATAATATGATTACTTGATTAGAATATACCTTGATTTTAAAAAAATATAACGTGCAATTACTAGTAATATAATACTAGTACACATGTACATGTATGTTAAGGGTTTTAATTAATACAGCAATTAAAGCCTCATCTGAATTCATTGAATAAAATTTTCCAAGAATTAGATTCATTTAATTTGATGAAGAGTGAAAAGAAATTCATCTTAGCAAATAGTGTGATTTAATTGTACAGTTAGTGATTGTGTTATATTAATACCAGATAGTAGAAGGAAGGAAACTGTTAAATCAATATCGGACACTAGTAAAGCAATAAATCTCAAACTATTCATTAATTGGTTAAATCAGGCACCATTTATTGGCACTGGAGGACAGAAATCAATGTTAATCAGCCATACTTTGAATCACGCCTTTGTTGATGGGTGATGTTTGGCAGTGTCGTGAGTCGCATCCTATGAAATCATTCAAGTGTAACAGGGTGATGATAGTTACCTTGTGAGGACACGGTTGGTTGAAAAGGTGTTATTTTTTAAAACTCAAGTTGTTTACACTTTGTGGTACTTGTGTTTAAACAAACAAACAGTCTAAATACTCTTGGTGTCTGTGTCAAGCTTTGCTCTTTCAACTTTCAATTGTTGCAGTGATCTTAAGACACTCTGAAGTGAAGCGATTGGTATACTGCGATGTGTTAAGTCGTGAAATCCAAAGTTTGAACAAACTGGAAAATAGATGTGAAGTGGATAACGTTAATATTTTGTATGAGATTTTACAACAGATTTATGTGGTATAGATTCAGTTCTTGGAATTCCACAATAAACATGCTGTCAAATGATGTTAATGAACCAAAAATTGCCTCTTTGCTTTGTTGAAAGTTTAATTGAGTGAAATTTGATTGGTTTCGAGTGGATGTGGTTAATATACTCTTTTATTTATATCACACTAAGTCATCAAGAATTCCACCAATCGATCAATTAGAAAATAACAATAGGAACGTTGATGAAGCTGTACGCAACTTGAAAAGCTATATATGATCAGTAAAGTGAAACAAATTATATATATCATTTACTGGTAATGATTACAATCTTATAAACATATTGACGACCACCTGTCGAGGTACAGTGACGTTCAATACACACAATATTAGATCACTTCCATATGATGAGCAGTACTGTCAACCAACTCGATATAACCAACCATTCACTTCTCAAGTAAATTTGATGTAATTGTGATTTAGACGGAAAATTCAGAATAAGAAATGGAAAGTTGTCACTTCGGATCAAGTTTGGATTTCATTCCATATCATAATGTTTATAAGAAGGTAGGGAATTAATATGTTTTCAATTCTTTTTTAACAAATTTTTCCAAACCAATTTTGGGGGAATATAAGTTATTCATTTTGTGCCAAAATGGATTAAAAAAAGTAGAACTTTTGTTATTCATAATGCATTTCATTTAAACAAATTTATAAATTAAGTGCCAAACTTAGAAATCTAAATCTGGAATATTGGGAACATTGTTCAGTGTTTCAAATCTATTTTCATTTTGTGGGGATTTTTTGAAAAAAAAATTATTATCATTTTGGGTTGGTCCGTCCTTCCACAGTTTTATTTTCAGTCAGGAGAAGGTACATTTCCTTTTCTCTTTGGTAGATTTCAGCACATTTTTAAGAAAAAAAAAATCATGGGTAGAAAAAGACACTTGAATTTATTTTTAGTGGGAATGTGCTCCCCGTGAATACCCGACAACTCATCCCAAAGACAACTTATCCCAAAGACAACTCATCCCATGACAACTCATCCCAATATAAGACAAATCATCCCAAGTTAGAAGACAACTCATCCCAAGATATTTTCAGTCACATGTATGGTTCCAAGATGGAATTGAAACGTGTACGCTATGATAAGTATATGGAGCGCCCCAAACTTAAAATTAAAAAAAAACAAGATCAATTTTATTAACACAACAATACCAATTTTTATTACAAAAACAAATATAACTAGCACATATATTTTTTTTGGATGAGTTGTCTTATATCTCGACCCATGTTTTAAAGTTTGGATGAGTTGTCTTTTATCTTGGGATGAGTTGTCTTATATTGGGATGAATTGTCTTGGGATGAGTTGTCTGTATACCCTCCCCGTCACCCCACAGCCTGGCCAGTCCTTTAGTATTACTATTGTGTTTAAGCTGCGCCAAATAGATTTGTAATTAATGATACATTCATGCATCAATAATCTTCCTACATGTAATGAAATGACCATCAAACTAACTATGAGTTTGCGTAAGTCAGAATAATTTGTCATCATCAATCAGCCTTTAATTATGCAAATTGTTAAATATGCATAGTACTTGTAATATTCTTGAATCTTGTTGATCTCTTTATAACCTCACTTACATAAACCCATGTTGTATTTGAAAAATCTTAGAGATTGTTGGATTTAATAAGTTTGTAGATGGCCATAGTATACATGTAATATGTGAATACAAGAACAGCCCAAACTCCAGTTATAAAATACATTTTTTGAAACAATAGTTTATTTGATCTGAAAGAATTACTAAATTATTTTGTTGATAACATATGTGTATTTGACATATTTTATAAGCCTAGTACATAATATAGATTTTAGTTCCTTGTCATGCCATAGTTTGAAAAAGGGAATATCGTCTCGGCATATTTCAAAAGATAGGTTGAGATTTGACATGGAAGCTCAAATTAATATACTTTGCAAAATGATGTACATTATTCATAATATTATCCATCACAAATAACAAATAGTGATAATACTAATGGCAAATAACTAGTTATTAATTGTATCATCTTCTCAATCAGTCAAGCCAATCTTCATTAGTTAATAATAATGGTGTATTTGTATAGAAATATTATTATAAGTTTTAGTAGTGTAGAGAGGAAAATTAAAGGTGACTATAGGTTAGGGTGTTATTGTAATCTGTCAGATCCTATACACACCATAATCAATATAATTCTCTATATCACACAGAACAACATTTCCCTGGGGTCCCAAATTAAGATATGAGAATTGATTGGATATTTAGGGTTATCTTAAGCCAGTGCTGTATAATCATAATACTGTAGTTCTATGCTCATAGGTCAAAGAAAAAATGATTATCGTAGTACCGAGAGAGAGTTTAAGAGCATATTCCAGCTAAAATTTCTCAATGTTTTTTTCTTTTTTTTACTTCCCAATTTTAGAACTGTGAAGATATATATTATTATGATTAGATTTAATATTCAGTAATATGCACCAACATTTCTGAAAGACATATTTTCTGGACAGTTGTTATCCCAAATACATAGCCATCGATTGGAAAACATGTCCAGACAAAAAATGTGTCTGTAGTTACCTAGTAAAGTTTCTGAGTTTTAAGCTGTGCAATAATTAGCTTGTTTAATTTTTTATGGGTTTATTTGGAAATTTGAGTCTATGTTTTGTAATTTACTGCCACAAATATAATACTTTCAGATGGGGAAAAAATTAGGATACAATTATGTTGTAATCCATAATCTATCAATATGTTGATGACTGGGAGAGAAACCAACCAATATCTCTATAACTGAAATGTCTGTGAATTTAATTCTATTTAAGGAGGAACCGTGGTGCCTAAGTTTGTAAGATGCTGGCTTGCTGGTCTGGAGGGCCTGACAAGGACAGCTGTCTAGTCATTCAGATGAAAGATCCCTTAACAGTTGGAATTTGATATAAGAGTAGGCCATAGTGCCACTGTCCGGGCAAAATTTCCCTCATAGCACACTGTATGGCGTATGCCCGTCTTCATTAGCCCAGTTCAGAGCAGAACAGTAGGACTTTAAACCCCATTTCATTTCGTTGGCCTGCATACACATTGATGTAAAATAACCCTCAACATTTGGAAGAGTAGGCAATATCACAATATTTAGTCTGCAAGTAGTGGACAATGCAACACCAAATACCACTTCTTATTTGTTTGACAAGACAGGTATTGTTAATCTTTCAGAACTCCTAATATCACTTCTTATTTATTTGGGTAATTTTTTATTTTGTTTTTTTGTGCACACCAGTTATGCAGGCAGAGGGTTATTCTTGATATCTTGTGGGGGGTTGGATGGCTGAATGGTTAGCATGTGCGCACTGTACCATAAAGTCTGTCATTAAGTCAACTGGCGTGGTTTCGATTCCCCAGTTGTACGTGGCAAGGAGTAGGGTCGTTTGTCCAACCTCGTGGGTTTTCTCCGGGTCCTCCGGTTTCCTCCCACTGCTAAAGACCCCTACACACAAGCGAATTATTGAAATAAAATTAAACCATATATTAGTCCCAAAATGACCTAGTTTGAGTCGAGTGGACGTAAACCCCATTTATCTCTCTCTTTGATATCTTGAGTTGATTCTTTAAAGCCACTGATCTTAATTTGAGAGATTTTGAATCCCTTGCAAACTGCAATATTGTGATTAAAGTGGAATGTCTAAAAGGAATATCAATGCAAATTATACATGGTTAAATTCTGTTCAGTATTTACAAAGATATGGTGAATAGAAATTTTGCAACATGCGGCATAATCTGCCGATAAACGCCATCTTTTAGTCTTGGTTAGAATCATTTGATTGGGTCTCTTTTCAATTCAGTCGAATCCAAGCTGGGAGATTATCTTCCATTTCTTATTAAGGTTTTGTTTTTTTAATTAAAAGTTAATCAATTTAAGTACATTTTGGAGTGAATTAAACAGTGAATAATTAGATATTGTCTAAAAATGTATGATCGAGATCAGCTGTTTGAAATCATGTTACTTTTGCTAAAACCCTTAATAATATCACTATGTAATATGAAAAGTTGACAAATTTAAAAACATTAAAACAAAAATATTGGTTTTTCAGGATAACAACTGGTTAAAGTTGTATTTAATTATCTCAAATTATGTGAACAGATTTTAGTGATCAGGAAATGTGTGAGAATGACAGGAACAGAATTTGTTAATGTTGACCAAAAAAATCTCTCTTTTCACAACAGCATTAAAACGAGATGCACTTTGTATCCAAATTATATTAGTAAGATGAAAGTTAAATCTGGTTGAGAGATTAAGCTGAAGAGAAGTAGCTTCAAGCTAAGAAGTTAGGATTGAAAATAAACAGTTTGGCCGTATGCAATTAGCACCAATATTGATTAGACTACAGCTTCAGACTGTCACAACAATTATACATGATGGTCTCTTAGATTTGCACGCTGCCTAAGTTTGGTGTTTTTATGATATTGTTTTTCCTTGCCTCAGGCCATCATTTGCGCCAAATGATTTGACAATGTGACAGCAGGTTTTGTGTCGGCAAACTGGAGCTGTTTAAGTTTTTCCCTGGTATAAGTGAATTAGATTAGATATGCATTTGATTGGTGGGCTGGTGCGAGTAATTGGGTTACATCATTGTTGTTTTTTCTTTGACACCATCAGTTTTTAATGTGGAGGTGAAAGTTGCAATCTTATTTTACAAGAATCTAATATCATTTTCTCTACCCAATCTAATCAATTATTCAAATGTTAGCCTTTTTGAGAATGGGAAAATTCAATTTGTTAGAAAATAATTCAGGACTTTTAATGGCACATTTGAAACTTGAGCAACATTTCTTGGATTATACTGTTGTTTTTTTCAACAATTATCAATGGAGGGCACAAATTATTTGCTGAACAAATTATAAACTTTTTGTCAACTGTTCACATTTATTGAAAATGATATTAAGAAAGTGTTTGTGTTTAAGAAAATTAAGATTGCTCAAATATCTGTTATGTTTATAAAAGTTGAAGCACAACTTTCTATTGTTATAAATAACGTCAAATGTTGGTTTGACTCTAAATGTAAAACTAATGAAATTTCAGATTAAACTGAAAGGAATACCAATGTCTACCACATAAATTCTCTGCTAACATCATTTTGCACATATTTTGAAATTTCAAAATTAGTTTTGTAATTGTAGCCGTATAACTAATCTATAGAGGGTAAAGATTGACATTTTCAAACATGCGAATTGCATTTTATTTTTTATATCGGTATGTCAGAGAGTTGTCTTGGGGGTGTGGAAGTAGTGACTTTGGAGACAAATGTAGACACTTCCAACATTCCATGTAATGTATTTTAACTATAAATATAAAACATCATTAATGTGTATATATTCCTGAATTTCAAGGAATATTGAAATATAAATAAGACTGTGTTTAAAGAAACAGTTTGCGATGTATTTAAAATCAAACATTGTGAGCTGTCAATATCACAATAATAATAGCATCTTGAAATTGGCAATTGTTATTCATCCTTATTTTGATTAAAGTACATTCTCATA